ATGCACATAAAGCCACATCATCACTTGGCCTTTTCTTTCTTTTTTTTTTTGCAGTACTGGGGGTTGAATTCAAGGAACACTGAGCTACACTCCCAGGCTTTTTTACTCTCAGAAAGGGTTTTGATAAATTGTTCAGATTGGCCTTGAACTTAAGAGTCCCCTAAATCAGCCTCCCAAGTAGCTAGGATTACAGACAAGTGCCACCATGCCATCTACTTGGCTGTTTTTTTGTTTTGTTTTGCTACTGGGGATTGAACTCAGGACCTTGTGCTTTTGAGGCAGGCGGTGAAACCACTGAGCTAAATCCCCAGCCCTACATGGCTGTTTTTGATAAAGGAAACAAAATTATTTCATTCAGTCAGAGGGGATAGGACATAGTTTAAGTGAGGCACGGTGGCACATGCCTGTAATCCCAACACTCAGGGGGCTGAGGCAGGATAATCCTCAAGAGTTCAAGGCCAGTTTGGGCTACATAGTGAGACTTTGTCTCAAAAAGAAAAAAAATGGGCCGGGGATTTAGCTTAGTGGTTCTGCTGCCTGGCTCGCAGGCACAAGGACCCGAGTCCAATCCTCAGTACCAAAAAAAAAAAAAAAAGAAAGAAAGAAAATGTGGAAGACAGTAAGTTAACAAAAAAAGAAAAGAAAAGAAGAAGAAGAAAGACAGTAAGTTAGATAGTAGACAGTCAGAAGGCTTGAGTTTTGAATGTCTCTGCTTTCAGGGCCAGGACCTTGACCAAGGCAGTTCTATAAGAAGCTCAGCTTCACCATAGGACAAGATAATTCCTACATTAAAAGTGGTGGTGAAATTCAGAGTAAATGGGAGTGAGAGATCAGCAAACTGTCCCACACTTGGAGGAGCAGTTACTGTTACCAGTTCCCAAGGCTAAAACAGACGGGCAGCAAGCAGCACCCGCGTACCTGCTTCTCTCCTGACCTTTACGGAACCTGCTTCTCTACAAAATTTTGGTTCACGAGGCAGACACCCTGGGACCAGAACCTGCTTTGCAACCGAAATGATGATCAAGGCAAAGGGTTGCACTCCTAGACTCCTGGTGGCCCTTCCAATGTTGACATCACAGGATGCAGTGGCCCCAACCAAACTCCCACTCTTGCTCCCAGACGCAGCAGGATGTCTTGCCGTGTAAGTGATCAGTAAGCATCTGCTCGAGAGTGAATAAACCAGTGAGGGAATGAAGGTATCCCCTCAAGAGCAGGTTAGGGGCCCCCTTCTGCACGCCTGCAGCGCTCGAGCTTACTACCCCTCTGGCCTTTCCGCCGCCCTATACTTGTCTTTCTCCCAGACTAGACCAGGTGTCACGAGGGCAGGTGTCCCACCTGCGATGGGAACAGGCACCTTGCGGGGAGCATCCCGCAAAAGGGCAGGGTGCGGGCAGGGGTCCAGAGGCTGGCGCGTGCTCGCCCGAGGTCGCCGCGAAGGCCGTGGCTCTCCCCGAGCCCTCCTCGCTCCCGCGCGGGCACCAGAGGAAACTCACGTAAGCACCGGGATGGGAGTCCACACCACGCAGTAAGGGAAGCGGCTTCGCTCCACGTCCATGGTGACGGAGCCAGAGCCGTGGTAGTGCTTCATGTCCGTCTCGGCCGCCGTCTGCGCCTCCACTTCCGCCATTCCGGGAGGAGGCGGCAGCGGCGGCAGCAGTAGCGGAGAACTCCCTTCCGCTTCCGCCATGCTGCGCGCGCCTCGCTCAGGCGGACCTGCTCCGGTGCGGCTAGGCCCCGTGGCGTCACTTCCCGGAGGTGGGGTCCGCGCTGCTTGGCCTTCCCCCCGGGAATTCGAGCCGAGTCACTCTGGGCCCGGCCGGCCTTGCCCCTCTTGTGGTGCCTGCTGGCGAGTTGCACCCTGCACTGCCTTCAGGCGGCTCGCAGTCTGGCTTCTTAGAATGCCTGCGAACTGTAGTAAAGCCCAGGCCTTCTAATAGGTGTACTGCACATGCTATTTATTGAGCACTTACTAGGTGCCAACCACTTGACAAATACCATTTCTAATTCCCGTAAACTGATTACACACGCAAATTTAAGTATTTTCCCCATGTTACAAGTGAGTAACAAGCTTTACAGGAGAAGTTAAGGGTCACGACTCAAACCCAAAGTCTATATTTCTTTTGCCCTTTTCCTTTCTTTCTTTTTTTTTTTCTTCTAGTACCGGGGATCGAACTCAGGACCTTGCGCTTCCACTGTGCTAAATCCCCGGCCCTTCCTTTGCCCTTTTCTGTACCCTCTCACGAGATAGCGTTAAAGGACCAACAGACTAAAAATCTGTACGGAGTAGGGACAGACTCATCCACCCAAGGGGAGGTATTTGAGTATTGAGTTTGCCAGGTGGCATGGGGAGGGGGGTGGATGCAGCGTGCAGAGGTGCAAAGAAAGAAAGGAAGGAAAGCTGGGAGGAGCCCTGTGTGCCGGAGACTGAATATCATCGTGGCTGGAGTAGATGTGGTCCAGTCCCTTCATAATGGGAAACAGGTTCAGAGAAGTTAAGCAATTGTATGAGGTCACACCCCAGTAATACCGAGAGGCGAGGCTCCAGTTTTGGAGTCTTTTGGCTTTTAGAAGGATGCCAAGAGAGACAAAAAGAAATGAAATCTGCTGAGGGGAGGAGGGGGAATGTGGAAGGCAAGAAGGAAGGCAGCCTATAAAAATCAGGCTAAAGGAAGGTGTGAACACACCCACTCAGGAAGGTGAGAGCTGTGTGTTTTGGGACAGTCTTGTTTCCATTCAGTTACTCTTTCTCAGTGCTGATCTATGGAAAACTTGCATTCCTCATTTGGAAGGATATGTCTGTCTGCTGTGTAACTCTAAGGTCCTTGACTAGTAGCTAGCACAGTTCCTGGTACAGAGCAAATGCTCATTGTTTATTGAATGGCTAGGTGTTTTCTGAAGACCTCATAGTTATCACAGCTGAACATAATTCTACTCCATTCAAAAATTTGTTTGTGTGTGTGTGTGGGAGATACTGGGCCTTCACACTGAGCTACACCCCCAGCTCTTTTCTAATTTTTAAATTTTGAGACAGGGTCTTGCTAAATCGCGCAAGCTGGGTTTGAACTTGCAATCCTCCTGTCTCAGCCTCCCAGAGTGATGAGATTACAGGTGTGTGCCACCACCCTTGGCTCATTCAAAAGTTCTTTGAAGATGTTTGTACCTGTCTGGTGACTCTTGCAATGTGTGATCCTTGAAGGTGGCAACCAGCTTCCAGTATAGGACTTGGAATAGATTAAGCCTGCAGTACAAAGTTGTCCAATGAATAAATTATTAATTAAAAAAATTTTGGTGGTACTGGGGGCTGAACCCAGGGCTTTGTGCATACTACTACTTAGCTACATCTCTAGTGTATACACCTTTCCTTTAAAAAAAAATTTTTTTTTGATGGTACTGAAGATTGAACCCAGGGAGGCTCTACACTTGAGCTATACCCCCAGCCTCTATTTATTTATTTAGGTAGTGGGAATTGAATTGAGGGTCTTTGCACTGAGCTACAGGGTTTTGTTTGTTTGGTACTGGGGATCGAACTCAGGACCTTGCACTTTTGAGGCAGGCACGGTGCCACTGAGCTAAATCCCCAGCCCATTTTGTTTTTTGAGACAAGTTCTCCCTAAGTTACTAAATTGCCCAGGCACAGCTTGAACTTTGAATCCTCTTGTTTTATTTTGTTTTTTTGCACTGGGGATTAAACCCAGGTGTCCTCTATCACTGTGGGACATCCCCAGTCATTGATTTGATTTCTTGATTTAGAGACAGGGCCAGAAAAATTGCCCAGGTAGGATTTGAATTTGTGATCCTCTTGCTTCAGTCTCCCTCAGTGCTAGGATTACAGGTGTGCACTACCATGCCTGGCTGCTATGAGCCTTTGTAAGGTGCTCCTGGAGATTGGTGGGGATAGTGCTGAGGCACAGGTTCTGATCAGAGCCCTAGCTAGCTCCCTTCCTTACAACCTGTATTCCCTCCAGTTGCAGAAGAAGGAGCATGATGGCCAGGTAGCTGGAGGGAGAAGCCAGCTGCTTCTCTGACTCTTCTGGAGCCTGTCTCCCAGGCTTGTTCTCCACCATAGCCTGCCCACAGGGCTCCTTCTCACTCACGTTCACATCCCCTTTGTTCTGACCCTGTGTAACAGCTTCCCCGGCCTGTGTCCTTACTTTTTTTGCTCCTGCTTTCCTTTTCACCCATAGACAGATGGGAAATCTCCATCAAAGACTAACACTGCCTCCCAGGCTTAGAGGATCACAGCAGGAGCCTGGAAGAAGCTCCTTTACATGAAGAGTTTGGAACCCCATTGACAGGGTTCAGAGCTACCCCTCCCCCAACACATACATTGACCCAAAATAGGAATGACCATCTGGATCCACTTACAGGGCTGGCTGGGGGAGGGAAGGGTGGCAGAGTGGGAACTGTCAAGCTGGCAAACCTTTGAAGGTAAGATGCTGCTTGTGTGACAGTGAGATGGGACACTTCCTGTCTTGGTGAGTCAGGGCATTCCCTAAATAGGACTCATATAGGAGTCCCGGGGACTCACAAACCTTTCTCAGGCCATCACACTTTTGAATTTAAGGCTCCCCATGGCTCCCCATATTTCCCTTCAAGGCCCGTCTCTCTTTTCCCTCCAACTTGCTTGGAGCTAGCCTCACTGGGCTATTTGCCTTTCAGAGTACAAGCCATGAACTTCATAGCTCATACCTTTGCTCGCACTGTTCTTTTTTTTTTTTTTTTTTTTTGGTATGGGGAATCAAATTCAGGACCTTGTGCTTGCGAGGCAGGCGCTGGAACCACTGAGCTAAATCCCCAGCCCTCGAACTGTTCTTTAATTGGGAATACCCTTTCCTTCCTCTTCTACACCATGTTCAAGGTTTTGGGCCAATGCTCCCTCTTTGCTCCCAGAGCACGAAGGCTGTTACCACTTACTGAATATTCATGTATCTTGTATTAGCATTAGCTGTTTACATTCTGTTTCCCCCAAGAGACTGAACTCCTTGAAAAAGGGGCTGACTGGATCTACTGGTCCCTGGAGTCCAGCTGGACACTGGGCAGATAGGAAGTGTTTAGGGAATGTCCCAGGAGCTATTTGTTGACCACAGATCTCCTTAAGGGGAACCCTCACCTCAACCAACAATTCTACAGTAGTGAAACGGCTGAGCCACAGGACAGAGGAGCTGCTGGGCATGATGCAGTGTGCGGCGTGGGGGAGGGCAGGTCCTCTTCTGCAGCTTTTCTGCTCAGCACCATCATTTTCCTCTCTGACTGCAGGAGACTGGGTTTCTCTGCGTTATGGCTACAAAGTTCTCCATGGTTGGGAGAGGACCAAGGGGGCCAATACAATGCAGGAAACTATTTGACAACTGACCCTTTTAGACATCAGAGTTTACAACACTACTTCACTCCATTTTACAGATGTGCAAACTGACCCAAGATTATAGAAAGAAAGCACAGCTCAGACCAGAATCAGTCTCCTATGTTGGGGTGGACAGTAAGGGATGAGTTTAAACATGTGGAGTCAGGAGCCAGTCAGCCTGCCCAGTGTTTGAATCTTAGTTCCGTCACCTTAGGAAAGTAAATGAACCTGATGTCTTGTCATCAGTTTCCTCATCTCTAAAATAGGAAACAACAATCCAGATCTTTTTTTTTTTTGGTACTGGGGATTGAACTCAGGACCTTGCACTTGTGAGGCAGGCAGCGGAACCACTGAGCTGAATCCCCGGCCCAACAATCCAGATCTTGTCCTAGGCTGGGGATTTAGCTCGTGGCACCACACCTGCCTGGCAAGTGCAAGGTCCTGAGTTAGATCCCCTGTACCCCCCCCAAAAAAGTCTTGTCCTGGTTTGATTTTGTGCAGTTTATTAGTTTGTACCTGAGTGTTGCCTGGCCAAGATAAAGATTCAGTGCTAGCCACTGTAGCAGATAAAACCACACAGCACTATTGTAGGACCCATAACCACTTCAAAAGCACTTTGATGTGCATAATCTATAATTTGGAGCCTCCTTACAATGCAGTGAGATAACCAGAGAAAGTAACATAATACCGTACCATTCTACTGAAGAGAAAATATCAGAAGAGGCTCAGGGCCATGCCTGAGGTCTAATCACATATTAGACAAAGTTGGGGTTCTAAAATCTAGCCCAGAGTCATCTCTGCTAGTGATCCATTTTAGGGCGACTAAAGAAGTGATGAAGAGAGATCAGCCTGAGACTATAATATAATCAACTTAAAATAGGTGTAGAGTATGGCCATTTAGGGCCAGGACCCATTTAAAGAAATGTGGAAGGAGGAGACAGAATCATGGCATGACACATGCTTGTTGTCATGCCCATCAGAATACCTTCCATCTGCCTGCTTTCCCTGCCAAACACGTTTGTATCCCTATCCCTGACAAAGAGCTTCAACACTGTGGGGCACTTCATGGCAGAAAGTACTGCAGAGGACTTGTTTCATAGTGAAATCCAATGTTCAGGGACCAGGCAGATCCTGTTATTTACTACTCCACAACTCCCAGATAACCTGGAGGCTCTAGAACAGGGATAGTGAACCTTTAAGAGCTTTCAATGATGATAAACAGCCAGGTGCAGCACATGTGCCATAGGTTCACTGCTCTAGAAGGACTGGGTCTGTTGTGTGCATTTTCCTTTAGACAGTGCCAGGCACTCAATACAGCTCACAAGGTATCAGGACT